GTTTTTCCCTGTCCCAGAGCTACCACTCAATGAGTGGCCCAAATTATTACTCTGCCCTCAGCTAGACAGAGGTCCTTCTATGGAGACCAGTAAGTTTGGCTGGAAACCTGTATTTGTTATCAGCTCTCCCGTTCAGGGAAAGGGTACCACCTGTCTGGTTCCCAGGATAGTGGAGCAGACGGCCCCTCCCCAGTCCAGTCACTACCTCTCCTGAAACTACAAATCCTTTGACTTGGCCTCTGTTTTTGTTTCCTTTGAAAAGCTCAAAATGCAGGGTGTGGCATGCAGGGCCCATGAGGGTGGGACAGGTTGTATCACCTAGAGAGGGTTTTTTTTTTTTCTTGCCCTGTTGCTACTGGGAGTAGCTAGCTCCTCTCAGGAAAAATGGCTCTTTTGTTTTGGGGACTACGACCAAATACTCCTGGGTGCTGCTTTTTCACATCTCTCCTCAATGCTTCCTACCCCAGCCTCTCCTTAGGCACCTCCTCCACATCTCCGTCCCTGCACCAAAGCCTTGGGTGAGTAGCTGTAAACTCCTGTGCTCTGTTTTGTTTTTTGTGTTCTCTAATTTAGTTGTATTTCCAGTCTGGCCTTGTGACGGGGTACACTACAGATCTGCCTTAGTCAGCCAACATTTTCTCCTCCAACCTTTTCCATTTTAATATGTGTGCACCCCTTTGGATTCATCTTGTGTTGAACTCTCTGCACTTCCTGGACTTGCATGTCTTCTTACTTTACCAGGTTAGGGAAGCTTTCAGTCATTATTTCTTCAGATGGGTTCTCAATCTCTTGTTCTTTCTTTTCTTCTCTGGGTATTCCTATAAGGCGAGTGTTGTCATGCTTCATATTGTTCCAGAGGTCCCTTAAACTATCCTCATTTTCTTAAATTCCTTTTTTTATCACTGTATGTTCTTTGTATTGGGTGCTTTCTGTTACCTAATCTTCCAAATCACTGACTCAGTCTTCTGCTGCATCTACCTACTGTTGATTCCTTGTAGTGTATTTTTCATTTCAGATACTGTATTCTTCATTTCTGACTGGGTCTTTTTTAGTTTTCTTTTATGTTTACTATCTCTCTTTTACATTTTTTATTGATTTCAGAAATAGCAAGGGAGTGGGGGAGAGAGGGAGAGAAGGAGAGAGAGAGAGATATCGATGAGAGAGAAACTGATTGGTTGCCTCCCTTACGCATCCTGACCTGGGGATGGAACCCACAACCTGGGTATGTGCCCTGACTGGGAATTAAACCTGTGACTATTTGGTGCACAGGACGATGCTCCAACTAATTGAACCACACTGGCCAGGGCACATTTCCATTTATTTAGCTTTATTGTAAGAATACAGTGTATAATACACATAGCATACATGTGTTAATTGACTGTCTAAGCTTTCAGTAACTTCTAGTCAGCAGTGGGCTATTAGTAGTTAAAGTTTTAGGGGTGTTAAAAGTTATATGTGATTTTCAGCTGGGCAGAGGTCGGTGTCTCTAACATACCTTCCCCTGCTTCATTGTTCAAAGGTCAACTGTATTTGAAAAACATGTTTGTAAAGTGGTTGTATTTGTGAAATGTCTGTATTTGCATTCCTGTTTTTATAGGATCCTTTGGTCATACTATTAAAAAATATAATTCCCTTGGTGATCTTGTTCAAGTCTTGGGTACCCCAGGCAAAAAAGGCACTGGTTTGAATCCCCTGCAGTTTGATAACCCTGCAGAATTATATGTAGAGGACACAGGAGATATTTACATTGTGGATGGAGATGGAGGATTGAATAACAGATTGATCAAGTTGTCCCAAGGTACACAGCTTAATTTTAATGGTATTATATAAGAACATTATTTAACAAGTTGTATTTAATTTGTTTAATACTGATAATAATGTTGTAACTATTGAATATGAGTCTGTAAAGGGCTCAAATGTATTACCAGGAAAAAATCAGAACAGATGTGTGGGATGGCCAATAATGAATGATTCTGATAATAGATTTGCTTATTCACCAAAAGCTAGATGTTTCCTTTGAAATGAACTGGAGGCAGTATGAGACCTTATAGTGGGCTGAAGAAATAAATGGTTATTCTATCCAGTTAAGGATTGAGGGTTCAGAAACCTGGCATTCCAGAGCTATCGTGAAACTTGATTGATCAGCAAGTGTTTTTTTGTGTGTGTGTTTTTAATCCTCACCCGAGGATATTTTTTCATTGCTTTTAGATAGAGTGGAAGGGGTAAGGGAGAATGGAAGGGAGGGAGGGAGGGAGGGAAGGAAGGAAAGGAAGGAAAAACATCGATGTGAGACATTGATTGGTTGCCTCCAGCACGCACCCTTGCCAGGGCCGTGAATGAACCTGCCATTGAGGTATGTGCCTTTGACTGGGAATCCACCTGCGACCCTTCAGTGAGCTAGCTGACACTCTAAACATCAAGCCACACTGCCCAGGCAATCAGCAAGTGTTTTATTGAATTCCCTGCTCTGCATCCTCAGTAGTATGTTAGGTGCAGGTTTATTAAAAAGAAATCAGTTAAATGTTACTGTGTGGTATTGATTGTTAATCATATTAATAAAATTATTAAAAAAAGATTAGGAGGAGAAATTATATTGACTAGAGAATTAGGATAAGAATTCAAGAAGGAAATAGTTCTTACACTAAGCTGGGTTCAATGGGAGGATAAGAGCGGGATAGGAGGACCATTCACAAGCCTTTATTACACAAAGTCTTCAGATGATGATAGTAGATCTTTAGGAAAGGATCTTTAAGATGCATTTTATAAAGAGTTGAAAATAAGATTTTTGGATATCTTTGAGAGCTTATGTTGGGAAAATTTAACTAGGGCCAAAAAACAAAAAAAAAGCAGCTGACATCCCAGCATTATAGATAGAGTTTACTGAGGGAACCTACATAGGAGGCACATCCCAGGGAGGCAGCAAGAAGATATGCATATCCTTCAAGCTGCATGGTAGGTGCTAAAGAATCCTATCTAATAATAGACAACCATGGTAATTGACCGTACCTTTGCTACGCCTCCCATCGGCTAATCAGCATGATATGCAAATTAACTGCCAACAAAGATGCATATGTAAGCTCCAAGCAGTGGAGCGAAGCCTGACAGCCTGGGGCCGGCGGAGCAGTGAGGCCTGATGTTTCCTGGGCCGGTGGAGCAGCGAGGCCTCGCAGCTCCGGGGCCGGCCGAGCAGCGAGGCCTGACATTTCCGGGGCTGGCGGAGCAGCGAGGCCTGACGTTTCCGGGGCCGGCGGAGCAGCAAGGACTGATGTTTCCTGGGCCGACAGAGCAGCGAGGCCTCACGGCTCCCGGACCGGCGGAGCAGCAAAGCCTCATGGCTTCAGGGCCGGCTCCAGCCAGAACTCGGCCAGAGTGAAGGCCTGGGCCCCGGGTGCCAGAGGCAAACCGGTGCCAGCAGCCAGGGGAAAGGAAGGCCTATTGCATGAATCTCTTTGTGCAACAGGCCTCTAGTTATATAGAAAAGACCAGAATGAATAGGGTTACCAAGAGGAAAAGGCCTTGCAAGCTTGCCATGGTCAGAGCAACTGCCTATTCCAGGAACCAGCATGCCTTTGAGCATAGGAGAGGGGTAGATCAGACATCTCTGAGGGGATTTATGAGAAACAATCTGGGCCAGATCTAGCTCATGGTCTGGCAGTGGTCATGTCATGGAACAGTCTCTCTAAGGATTTGAAGCCTTGATTTGCCTATAAAGAGTCTTTGTGGCCCTGGCTGGGTAGCTCAGTTGGTTAAACTGTCAGCTCAATACCCCAAGGTTGAGGGTTTGATCCCTGGCAGGGTACATAAAAGAAGCAACCAATGAACACATAAATAAGTGGAACTACAAATCGATGTTTCTCTCCCCCTGTGTTCCTCTCTCTTTCTCCCGTTCTCTGTCTCTCTAATTCAATAAATAAAATTTTAGAAGAAAAAGACCCTTTGCTGTTTTTTAGTAGAAAAGTGATGCTATAGAAGCAACGTTTTTGTAAAATACAATACTACATCAGGATATATTTGTGGTAAGTTCTGTCATGTGGAAGCTATGTAGTTAATTTATCACCTAGTAACTGAATTTGGTTGGTGATAGTTGAAGGAAGATGAGGTGGAGCTAAAGTAAGAATCTGAAAATTTCTATGAAAGAAAGAAACAAATTTCGGAGATGGATTGAATATGGGTGCATTAACTTCTTGTGGGTGCTGCAATAAATCACTAAAATTGGATGGCTTAAACAGAAATTTATTTGCTCATGGTTTGGGAATCCAGAGTTTGAAATCTTTAAGGCGGGTCATTCTCCCTTTAAAGTCACCAGGGGAGAATCCTTCCTTGCCTCTTCCAGCTTCTGGTGGTTCCAAACACTTTTTTGACTTGTGACAGCATCACTCAGTCTCTGCATCTGTGTTTACATGGCCTTCTTCACTGTGTGTGTTTGTATCTCAAGTCTTCCTCTCCTATTGGATTTAAGATGCACCCTAAATCCAGGATCATCTTGTCTCAAAATTCCTAACTTAACTATTTCTGCCAAAACCCTGTTTCCAGTAAGGTCACATTCATAAGTACTGGAGGTTGGGACTTGATCATATCTTTTCAGGGGGCCACAATGTAACAGACTACAGGGTAGTAAATGAGATAGACTATAGAAACATAATGTGAATATTTGAGCTCAGAAGAATGGTAAAACCAAAGAACAGGTTAGTTGGCAAGCAGAACCAGTTGAAGGAAGAGGTTGACATGAACCCTAAATGTTTATGAGTGATGAAAAATTCACATGTAGAGAACCATTAAAGAAATAAATTGCTTGAAACAGATTTTCTTTGTGAAGCATAAAAATTAGGCAAATCCTACATAATTAAAGCATAATATGCAAATCAACTGGATGGCAGAACGACCGGTCACTATGATACACACTGACCACCAGGGGCAAATGCTCAATGCAGGAACTGCCCCCTAGTGGTCAGTGTACTCCCATAGGGGGAGTGCGCTCAGCCACAAGCTGGGCTCACGGCTGGTGAGTGCAGGAGCGGTGATGGGAGCCTCTCCCACGTCTGCTGCCGCAGGTGGTAAGGAGCAAGGGGTCCTGGACTGCGAGAGGGATGTCTGAGTGCCAGCTTAGGCCCGATCAGCAGTCAGACATCCCCCAAGGGGTCCTGGACTGCGAGAGGGCACAAGCCAGGCTGAAGGACATCCTCCCCCCACCCCCATGCACAAATCTCGTGCACGGGCCTCTAGTGGGTATATAAACAGAAAGGAAGGAATCTATACTAATAAAAGGGTAATATGCTAATTAGACCAGACAGCCTTCCAGACAAAGCCATGGCAGCGGGGGCAGAAGTGGTTAGGGGTGGTCAGGCTGGTAGGAGAGCAGTTAGGGGGTGGCCAGGCCAGCAGGGGAGGGCAGTTAGGGGTAATGAAGCAGGCAAGCAGGCGAGTGGTTAGGAATCAGCAGTCCCAGATTGCGAGAGGGCAGTCAGGACATCCCCCGAGGGGTCCCGGATTGGAGGGGGTCCAGGCCAGGCTGAGGGACACCCCCCTCCCGTGTACGAATTTCATGCACTGGGCCTCTAGTGGGGTTATAATTGAAAAGTTTGTCTGCATCCTATGACATAAAATATAACATGCAAATGCATAAGATATTCTCTATGATATGTTGCCATGACCATATATGTTTATCATTTATAGATTTCATGATGCTTTGGTTGCATGGAGAAAATGGGACAGGGCCTGCTAAGTTCAACATACCTCACAGTGTTACAGTTGATTCATCTGGCCGGGTAAAAATACAGTGTCATTGTATCTGGAACTGTGTGTCTGAGGGTGTTTGTGTGTGTCTAAGTGTACATATGGATCTTAATGCACCTGTTCATGTCTGGACATCTGGATATGCATGTATATTATAGATGTGGATATGGATGTATTTATCCTAGTATGTCTTGACAATACTTCTGAGACTGGGTATACCAAACATATTCTCTTATAAGTATTTGAGTCCTATAATGATAGTAGTTTCCAAATATTTAGAAATGAGCAAAACAGATTTTCTATTCACTTAAAGGGTAAAAGGAACACATAATGTAACAGAATATAAGGAATGTTACCTGATTTAAAAAAAAAATAGTTGCTCTCCTACTAGGAAAACTACTATGAGTATTTAAATATATTTTTAATTCTAGAATTAAACAAAGTTACTCCTAGAATGTATTGGTCAAAAAACAGATAGAATAGGTTAATCTTGGAAGCTTGAAAAGAGCCACCTGGCCAAACTTTTATTTTTTTCAAACTTTTATTTTTACTAGCTGTACTCTGTCTAGGGAACAGAGAGCTTTAACCAGCAAATTGTAATTTGTTTTCTTTTTTTCACCCCTAACAACTATCACTCTTTTGCTTTTGCACACCTTTAAAAATGCATATTAATTCTTGGGGGTTACCTTTCTATAACCAAACTCTAACCCAAAATGTTATCATTAGTTTCTTTTTCTGGTTTCCTGTAGTAGATGGTACTTCCCATTATAGTAACTATAATAGAATGATTTAATTGTCTCCCTAATAGAATGTAGGCAGTATGAGGGTACATATGAATTTCTTTTGTTTTATATCTTAGTGCCTAATAGGTAGTAGTCATCTTATGCCTGTTTCTTAAATGACTAAATGTCTTGGTGCACAGTGGATGCATCAGACTATCTTTGCTTCATGCCATTAGAAATTTAACCCATTTCCACTTATTCTTTGCTCAGTAAGCAGCCTTCTGGATTATGATTTGGTTTCCTATTTGACTAAGTAAGAATGTTTTGATCATAAAAATTTTCAAGTATTTTCTATCATAGATAGGAAGATAATTGAACATGTGAACTTGGTATGTTATTTGGGAACTAGAAAGTTGGAACTAACTTGTCCTCATGGGATAAGAACATCAAATTTCTGAGCATGCAAGACAAAAGCCCAGGTAAATTCACCATGATGAGAAATGTTTTTTTTGAGAGGACTTGGAGAATGAAAGAGTTATTTCTGCATATTTGATCTCAATCCTAGGGACTAAACTGTATTTCCTCCTTGGTCATTAACCTAAGACTGTAATCCCCAAATCAATTACCTTATTTAGGGATCAACAACCTTTCTCAAGTGATGCAATGATTCTTTGTTTCTGATTGGAGATTAATTTAGTGGCTACCAAAACTTCAATACACATTGATAAAGATATAATCAGGGTTACCCTGAAAAAAATAGTCCCTGAATCCACAAACCCCAGAAATCTGAAGATCCTGAAGTGGAGAGGCAGAGGTCAGTTGGGTTGGACCACCCTTCCAGGCCATTCTTTATAGCTCTACAGCCCTCGCCAAGTGTTACTAAAAATGGTTTCACTGTACATATGCCGTGGGTTGCATACATCATGTAGAATACTAGAATGTACCTTCTTGTTGTATAACAAAAGTTTCTTTAATAACATATTGCAGTCTAAAATCTAAATTAAACCTATTGTTAGCCTACTTTCATTCTTTGTAATTAAAATCTCACAAGCTTCCTCTTTAAATGGTTCAACATTTTGGACATAACTTTGTAAATAACAGATAAAGGTTTAATGATAGTGCAGCATGAATGAATACCTGGCTTTCCTGTAGGCTGAGCTCCCGAGGAGCAAAAATACTTTCCTTTCTTTGTTTATTACCTGGCCCAGGAACCAACAAGTTGGCAGTACTCAGTGACAGTGAATATTAGAGTAATGAATGAATGCTGTTGTTTCAGTATCTTCAAATCATCTGCATTATATTGGATTACACTAGTTTTTTAGTTATTCAAATGTTTAGTATAGCAGACATAGCATTATAGGCTTTGGTTTAATATAGATGGCCATAAGTGGTTCTCTCACTTATGTAAGATCACTTCATGATATTTAACCTTTCTGAACTTTAATTTCCTATCTGAAATGGGGTTTTTAATAACCTTATTTGGGGACCTCTAAGTACTGAATTAAATAATGTATGTGCAATTAATAAAAGTAAACATTCATTCTCTCCTCTCCCCTTTTATCTTTCTTTTCATTATGATATAGATCTTTTCCAGCAAAAATTTTCTTTCTTTTTTGGTTTCTCAGGTATGGGTTGCTGACCGAGGAAATAAAAGAATTCAGGTATTTGATAAAGACACTGGAGTGTGGTTAGGAGCATGGAATAATTGTTTCACAGAAGAGGGACCTTCTTCAGTCAGGTAATTGTTCCCTTTTATTTGAAAATGCTTATTTTATTTGCTTTATGCTAGGTTCTCTGAAAAGCTAGCTGAAATTTTAAAATATTTATTGTTAATTTTAAGCAGGGAAAAGCGGGGGAGGGAGGCCAGTACACAGAAAACATACAATCATATTTTAAATTCCAGGTAGTTATATTCCCAGTGCACTGTGTGACCCAAATATATGCTGGACCTCTTCTAGAGATTTTCCTTGAGATGCATTTGGTCAATTTTTAAACAGATTGAAAGTGAAAATGTTGATTCTGTAGCCTAACATAGATTCTTTATTTAATTTTGAATAGAACTATGATAATATTATTTTTTTAATTAATTTAAGCTAATCTTTGGCTATGTCTACCTTCACAAACCTCTTCTTCCCACATTAATAGAATTAGGTCAATTTAAAATTCTCTTTTAAAGAACCCTTTAACACTCAATCTGGCCTTCTCTGTGAGTCCTTCTGATTCTTGTTTTCAGTGATTCTCCCGTGCCACTGGTCCCTGCTCCTAAACCCTTAATAAAATACACCCCTTTTCCTGATCAGTCTGTATCCCTTGACCCTTCTTAAAGTTTTATCATGGCCTCTTTAATTACTTGTCATTCTGTTTTAGCTCTATTTGTTTCTTTGTTTATTCTCCCACTAGAATAAAAGTCAAGAGAGTAGAGATTTGGGTTTATTGCTCACAGCCATATTCTTGGCATCTAGAATACTGCAGGCACACTAGGAACTCAATAGTTATAAATTAAGTGAACAAATCAATCAATTTAGTAAGCAGTTTGTTATATATATTCATATGTGAAATATTGTGCTTTTTGCTCTTTTTTGTTGTTGTTGTGTATATGTTTGTGTGTATGTTACATTAAAAAAAATATTTGGAGCAGGTAAAACTAATCCAGCATATTATGAATCTAGAAAATGTGCTACAAATAATTTATCAACCAGAGAGCTAATAAAATTATTTGGGGGAAATAAAAGCCTTCAGCAAGTAGGTACCTGCTGTTTAGCACTTGTGGGGATAAAAATGTTGAGAAAATAAACATTTATGATAATTTTACATTAATTTGTTATGTCAAATGTGTTCTCTTTAGATTTACTCCTGATGGGAAATATTTGATTGTAGCCCAGCTGAATCTTAGCAGGCTCTTATTTGTGGCAGCACCCCCAGTGGGAAGCATTGGCTACTGTTCTGTGATAAGCTCAATCCAACTAGCAGATCAAGTTTTACCTCATCTCTTAGACATCAGTGGAAAGACTGGAGCAATATATGTAGCAGAAATTGGAGCAAAACAAGTACAAAAATACGTACCTTTGAAAAGCTAATTTCCTATAATTCCATTTATTATGTATCTCTCCCTGGAGATCTTTCAAGTGAAGGTTCAGATTCTCAAATTCACTGTTAAGTAATGTTCAAGCGCAATAATTCATGTTTTTATTTTTAACCGATCTAGTATCACAAAATTTGTTTTTATAAAGTCATTAAGAATTTTATGTTGTGTCAACCATTCTTGTGACTTGAGAAACAAATGTAACTCTAAAAAACATGGGGTCAAAAGAGGGACTAAGGTGGAAACCTAGTTATTTGTCCTGATAAACTAATTATCCTTGGGAGATGGGGGAGAAACAAAAATAAAAAATGGGTCTTTCAGATAATTTATTGAATTTTATGTGAAGACTACAAAAATCCAGTTAGTTCACATTATATAAAATGAACTGCTTAAAAAATCAAGTGAAAGTGCTGTGGTCGGATCCAGGCTCGTTGTCTTGCAGAATCAAAGAATGAGTTTGCGGACAAAGAAGGTAAGTGGAAGCAAAGTTTATTGAGAGATAGACAGATTCCCTATAGCAGGCAGTGGCCCCAAGTGGGTTGTCACTGAAGTTCCTTTGTTTAAGGGCAGATGTATGTCTTCTTGGTTCTTTTTTCTTTTTTTTCTTTATTAAGGTATTACATATGTGTCCTTATCCCTCCATTGCCCGCCCCCCTCACCCCATTTATGCCCTCACCCCCCTGATGTCTGTGCCCATTGGTTAGGCTTATATGCATGCATACAAGTCCTTTGGTTGATCTCTCCCCCTACCCCCACCCACCCCTACCTTCCCTCTGAGGTTTGACGTTCTGATGATGCTTCTCTGTCTCTGGATCTGTTTTTATTCATCAGTTTATGTTGTTCATTATATTCCACAAATGAGTGAGATCACGTGATATTTATATTTATCTGACTGGCTTATTTTACTTAGTATAATGCTATCCAGGTCTATCCATGAT